AGGAGGCTGAGGCAGGAGAATTGCCTGAACCCAGGAGGCGGAGGTTGCGGTGAGCCGAGATCGCGCCATTGCACTCCAGCCTGGGTAACAAGAGCGAAACTCTGTCTCAAATAAATAAATAAATAAAATAAAATAAAATAAAATAAAATAAAATAAAATAAATAGAAAATTAAAATAATAAAATAAAATAAAATACAGTGACACAAGCCTGTAATCCCAGCACTGTGGGAGACAGAAGCAGGCAGACCGCTTGAGCCCAGGAGGTCAAGACTAGCCTGGGCAACATGACAAAACCCCACCTCTACTAAAATTATAAAAAATTAGATGGGTGTGGTGGTGGACAGACACCTGTAGCCCCAACTACTTGGGAGGCTGAGGTGGGAGGATCTCTTGAGCCTGGGTGGCAGAGGCTGCAGTAAGCTAAGATCACACCACTGCACTCTAGCCTACACGGCAGAGTAAGACCCTGTCTCAAATAAAATTTTTAAAATTTGGTGAGAAAAAGATTTTTTAATTCCAAATTTGTCAAAATATTATCAAATAAATGGCAGTATAATTCAATAGAGACAGTATAATCCAACAGAGACTCTTAATTTTAATAAATGAAAGGATAGATAAAATGTGAAAAATATATCCCTTCAGTAACAAAATCTAATTTATTTGCTTGTAAACAGCTGAAGGTTACACTAAATGACAGCTCTCTGTACAATGCAGCTATGAGTGCAAAGCAGCCACCCAGATGGAACTCTTCTAGCTTGTAGTTACTAGTGACTCACCATTGGTATCTGCTTTGACTTTCTCTTCCTTGATCTGCAAATTGGTCATCTGAATAGGGATAAAAGAAAACAGAGTTAAGCAAATGACCCAATAAAAGGAAGGCCCCTAAGTGAACCTTCCTAGTAAAAGTCTAGTCTGAAACTTTCAGCACCAGTATTCAGGGAGTTGGTTTGTTCCCTCAAAGCAGAATTGCTGAAAGTCTGTGTGAAAACACCATTTCATGTATCTTCAACTGCCTTACAACAAGAGGGGTGGACTAAATATAATGGGGGAGGGGGGAAGTCTTAGAAAACCTCAACCTCTGCTTCTCCCCCAACTCAAGTTCTTTCTATTTATTTACTTTCTGAGACAAGGTCTCACTCTGTCAGCTAGGCTGGAGTGCAGTGGCACGATCATGGCTCACTGTAGCCTCAACCTCCTGGGTTCTAACAATCCTCCCACCTTAGGCTCCCTAGTAGCTGGGACCACAGGTGTGGACGACCATGCCTACTTACTCAAACTCCTGGGCTCAAGCAATCCTCCCATCTTGGCCTCCCAAAGCACTGGAATTACAGGTGCAAGCCACTGCACCAGCCTTCTGTCATTTTCATTAGTTATCTCTATACTAGAGAGCAGAGCCATGTAATAACCTAAGACCATTAATCATTTATTAAGTGAAGGTACACAAGTCTACGTGGTGGAAAAAAAAGGTCTTCTCCAACTATAAGGAAACATTTATTTACACCAGCGTTCTGATAAACTGAATGCTTAGAGCCAGATACCAAATATGTTTAGGCCTATATTCCTAATATTCATATTATAGCAAGGTTAGGGGCACATATTTAACAAGGTTTGAAACCAGTTATCAGTAACTGTCTTTCAGAGATCTGATGCTAAACACTACATTTTAATCTCCAGAGTGCAAGGATCATGCCCTTGATAATGCTTTGTAATTTCTTTGTGGAAATTGCCAGTTTTCTACATGACCTGCTCCTTCCCCTGAACTCCAGCGCCATCTTTCCAATTGCCTGATGAGTACCGTGCAGAAGAGAACACAGCAGGCCTGACCACTCTCCTTAGGAAAGCCTGCTTGCAAGGTTGGCCCTTGGCTGTCGCCTGGGAACTTGGACTTTGGGAGGGTTCCCACCATTCCTAGAACTGATAAGAGGGGGTCATTCTGCCTCAACTGTTTGTAAAAACATGTAATTTATGCTACACACCCGTGTTCCTTCTGGAAGTCTGGAATTCTGGTACATGCTAGGCCCAGGGTGACTTTATTACAGGCCCCCAATAAATGCTCCAAGTAGAGTCTCTAACAAGCTTCCCTGACACTTCATATGTGCTGTTACAATTTGCTACTGGAACAATTCAGCATACTCTGTGGACTCCATTGGGAGATAAATTGGAGGTTTGCCTAGTTTCCTCTGGACTTAGCCCATGAGCCTTTTTCTTCCACTAATTTTGCTTTGTATCTTTTCACCATAATAAATCATAGCTTTGAGTAAACTACATACCAAGTCCTGTGAGTTCTCCTAACAAAACATCCAACCTGGACGTCTCTTGGGGACTCCCGCCAACAGGTACTTATCAAGAAGTCTCCTGGCCGGGCGCGGTGGCTCAAGCCTGTAATCCCAGCACTTTGGGAGGCAAAGGCGGGTGGATCACGAGGTCAAGAGATCGAGACCATCCTGGTCAACATGGTGAAACCCCGTCTCTACTAAAAATACAAAAAATTAGCTGGGCATGGTGACACATGCCTGTAATCCCA